GGCTCTGAGCTAACATCTATTGCCAATCCTCCTCCTTTTTTTCCCCAAAGCCCCAGTAGATAGTTGTATGTCATAGTTGCACATCATTCTAGTTGCTGTATGTGGGACGTGGCCTCAGCATGGCCAGAGAAGCGATGTGTTGGTGCGTGCCCGGGATCCGAACCTGGGCCGCCAGTAACAGAGCGCAAGCGCTTAACTGCTAAGCCATGGGGCCAGCCCTATGTAGTTTTATATCCTTTTAAAAATTAACTTTATAACATAATTTTCCATGCCATTAAAAATCTTCATAAAAATACTTTTTAATGGCTATAAAAAACTTCATCATAAGATTGTAACATAATTTATTCAACCATTCCCCTGCTGTTGGACATTTTGGATGTTTCTAATTCTTCATTATCATAAATACAGCTGAATATTCAACTTTATGCATATAACTATCTGCATTTGGGGTAGTTTCTTTAGCCCAAAGTCCAAAAGTGGAATTCTGGCTTACAGAATATTTTCAAGGCTTTTAAAATATATTATCAAATTACTTTATAAAAAAGGTTATTGTACCAATTTACACTTCTACCAAGGTATTTTACTCTTGATTGCAAACATGTTTGCAGTTCTGTTGGTGACCTTTGCCGTTATTTTTGTTCCCAGCGTCTATACTAAGAAATTTTACATTGACTATAATCATAAATTGTGTTCTCCATCAGATTCCCAGGAGAGAATATTGATTTCACTTTTTTCAAGTTTAGTATTTCCACTTTGTAAGTGTAAATATTTTGGGCCATTGATGTTCCTGTAACTACACGTGCAAATCCTTTTTATTTTTTTTTTAAGAAATACTGTCTTTTGAAAATTATACATCCTCAGATTCTTGAGTAACAACACTAAATCAGAGTAAGCAGGGACAAGTTAATCAGTAAGTTGAAAATCTTAATTAGGAGCTATTTTACAGACCAGAAACTACATATAATAGTTTGATTTTAGGGCTAGCAAAATGCTGCCTCATAGTTCCTTGTAGATAAAATAAATGTATATTTACCATGTTACTTATCCTGTTATTAACATATACTGTAATGTATTTTGAAGTGTGATTAAAAGTTTTTTAATCCCAACACTTCTGTTTTTGTTGTTAATTTTTGGGATAGAACATTTTTTGCGTGTAGTATACAGGGGCACCAGCCTCGGAATAGCTCTCTTCCAGGCCTTCATAAATGCTGCTCTCCATGTGTGGAGACTTCCCAGTCTGTTTACTTTCTGCTCATCTTTCAGGTCTCAACTTAAAAATCTTTCCCTCAGGGAGGCATTCCCTGCATCACCGTCTGGGTCAGATGCCCGCGTATGTTCCTATGGCACCCTACACCTCCTCTCTCATAACATTCATCACACTTTATTGTAATTCTGAGTTTACTGTCTGCCTTTGCTACTAGACTTTAAGCTCCTTGATTACATAGATTCTCTCTGTCTTATTCACCACAGTATTCCCATTTCCTAGCACAAAGTAGGCACTTTGTTTAATGAATAAATGAAAGTCTGAATTACATGCATGGAATTCTGAATTAGTAGAATGTGAATTGATAGGATCTGCATTTACCTATCAGACTGAATCCTTGATTTGGTTTGGTTTAAATCTTGCTGTCTTTTTTCTCTTTATTCCAGGGCAGAAATAATATGTTTCACACCTTGTTAATGTTTCTCTACATCATAAAGACCAAAGAGTCGGGAATGCTTGGGTAGGTATCGATGCTTTAAAAACACAAGTATTTAATTTATTTACTGTTTTTCTTCCTATGGTAAGACTCTGCAGAAGGCAGCATCATATACTGAAAAGATTTGTAAACTTTTTTTTTTTTTTTTTGAGGAAGATCAGCCCTTGAGCTAACATCCATGCTAATCCTCCTCTTGTTGCTGAGGAAGACCAGCTCTGAGCTAACATCTATTGCCAATCCTCCTCCTTTTTTTCCCCAAAGCCCCAGTAGATAGTTGTATGTCAT